GGTATGGCACTTCGTCCTTCCTCTGTTCCACAGCGTGTTGTCCTGCCTGAGCCTCCTGTATCCTCTCTTCCGCACGTTCCTGACCCTGAGTCCGACCTTGCTCGTGCTGCCAGTCCTACTGTCACTCGTCTCCTCGCTACTGTCGTCACTGACCCTGACTTTGAGTCTACTGCTGCGTTTGCCCTAGTCACTGAGCTAGTCGGCTTTGCAGCTAGGAGTCGTCTTGACTACATCGCGAGTCTTGTTAGTGAGTCTGAGTCTGTCTGTCCTCCGTCCGTCGGGGGTGAGCCTGCCCTTAGCAGTGACGTCTTTGAGGACAGGCAGTTTGAGCTTGAGTGTCTTGCGGCCGCTTTACCTCGTTTCGCATCCATGCTGCTTTGCCCTGAGGGAGACCCGGATGCACTTGACATCCCTACCCCGCGCTCTTATGCTGAGGCGATCGCGGATGAGCACTCCTCTCAGTGGCAGACAGCCATGGACGCAGAGATGGCTTCTTGGAAGTCCACAGGCACCTACGTCGATGAGGTTCCTCCTCCTGGGGCGAACATAGTCGATGGCATGTGGATTTTCAGAGTGAAGCGGCCGCCGGGTTCTCCGCCTGCCTTCAAGGCGCGTTACGTTGCTCGAGGCTTCAGTTAGCGACAGGGGGTCGACTTCTTCCATACCTTCTCCCCCAACCCGAAGATGACTACTCTTCGGGTGCTGCTGCACGTTGCAGCACAGCGTGACTACGAGCGGCACTCCCTCGACTTCTCCACAGCTTTCTTGCAGGGCAGCCTTCACGAGGAGATCTGGCTGTGCCGCCCACCTGGCTTCACTGGGTCGTTTCCTGCGGGTACCCAGTGGAGCCTCCGGCGGCCAGTCTATGGTATCCGTCAGGCACCCCGAGAGTGGCACGTCACACTGAGGACTACACTTGCGGCTCTTAGGTTTGCTCCTTCCTCTGCTGACCCGTCGCTGTTTCTACGCACCGACACTACCCTGTCGACGTTCTACGTTCTCGTGTACGTCGACGACTTGGTTTTTGTTACTGCTGACCCTGAGGCGCTGGCCCTACTGAAGGCGGAGCTGTAGGAGAGACATAGCTGCACTGACCTGGGTGAACTGCGTAGCTATCTTGGCTTGCAGATCACCCGGGACAGAGCACGGCGCACCATCACCCTGACTCAGTCACACATGGTGCACCAAGTCCTTCAGCGTTTCGGCTTCCAGTTCTCCTCACCACAGCCCACTCCTCTGTCTACCAGCCACTCGCTCTCAGCTCCACCTTCGGACGAGTCCGTAGAGCCGAGTGGTCCGTACCCAGAGCTTGTGGGTTGCCTCATGTACCTGATGACGTGCACACGACCTGACCTCGCGTACCCTCTCTGCCTCCTGGCTCGCTACGTGGCTCCCGGTCGACACCGAAAGATGCACTGGGATGCTGCGAAGAGGGTAATGCGTTACTTGTGCAGTACATCGGGCATGGGGCTCGTGCTTGGAGGACGGGGTTCAGTGGTACTCACAGGACACTCCGACGCTTCTTGGGCCGACGACCAGGCGACTCAGCGTTCATGACAGGGTTACATCTTCAGTCTTGGCTCTGGTTCTGTCTCGTGGAGTTCCACTCGTTCTTCTTCTGTGCTTAGTTCCAGCTGTGAGGGCAAGATCTACGCTGGGGCCATGGCTGCATAGTAGCTACGCTGGCTGACCTACCTGCTGAATGACTTGGGGGAGCGGCCTCGTTCTCCTCCAGTTCGGTTTGTCGACAACAAGGCAATGCTTGCCTTGTGTCGCGAGCAGAGACTGGAGCACAGAACGAAGCACATTGCTCTTCGCTACTTCCTTGCGCGTGAGGTGCAGCAGCGTCGTCAGCTCTGCCTTTCCTACGTGGCCTCGCGGGCCAACAATGCTGATGTGTTCACCAAGGCCCTTGGGTCTGGTGATCATCAGCGTTTTTGCACTGCTCTTGGGCTTGTGTCTACTCTGCCTCACCTGCTGGTTGCTTGACTTGCTATTGTTGTACACTGATATATATCTTTATATCTGCTTGTTTACTCTTGCTAGGTTGTGATCAGTATACTGCCTTGCTATTATAACTCTGCATGTGAAATGGCCTTGTGGCCGCTTGCTTGTGCTCAGATTGTGTGGTGTCCTTGAGATCCACCCTGAGCTTTGCTTTGCTTGTTCTCTTGCTTGACTGGTCTTGTGACTGTATGTTGTGTTTGACCTCTCCCACTTAGCTTATGGGGGTGTGTCAAACTGTATGTTTGTGTTCTCTCTAGGCTATAGTGGGTTAGCCTACAAGGGTACAACACTTTAGGGTTAGTACTTGTACCCAACTCATTCATAGTTCATTAATTCCTGCACAGTTATTCTGACAGTCGGAGGACTAGGACCATACATACATGCCAGTGCCATGAGGATGGTTGGTTGATGTGAGCACGTCAATTGTCTCAGGCTTCATGTATGGTAGTGGCAGGCTTGTACATGGCTCATGTTTTCTGAGCCTTCGCATGTTGTTGTGCCATGATCCAATCTCCATGGTATGCATGTGTGGCGTGTCTATGCGTGAGTAAGGGTGTGTGTGTGTGTGTGTGTGTGTATGTGCGTGGGCATGTGTGCATATACTTGTGTGTATACCCTCTGCAGGACTGGATAAGGGAGCAGAAGGACCATTGCTTGGAGGAGACAGAGAATTCCTTCAAATATTCGGGCCAAGTGCTGCGACTCCTCATCTCATAGGATCAGCTATAGTGCCCTAGAACCAACCGTGAACACAACTAAGCATATCTAGTAGTGTATCAAGACTACCTCATTGGGTTTATTCATGATAGAGCAGGTTAGGTGTCAGAAACTCATGTGTTACCTGCTCCTATCCTTTCACTCCTGCTGCTTTCGCATCCTTGCTTCCGTCTTGTCCCTGCTCCTTGGTTCCCTTCTTCGTACTCAGCCACTATCTGAGTCCAGTCTCCCATACGATGGCTGCCCACAGTGGCGTGGTCACCTAGCTAGAGTAGCCTTGTTGCGGTAACGTTTATCCACTATATGAGGCAAACAAATGAGAGAACGAGTTGTGTTGTGCATTCATTGCCTATTTGAAACCCTACCCCGTGTCGCCCAATTCCCATCAGACTACCTTGAGTTTCAGTCGCTGAAATCTAGGATTGGTCGTCCAGATTTCCCGGGCCCGATGTTCCTTGGGCTCTTCTTCCTTGCGCCTTGCTGGTCCCTGTGTCCCCCAGCTTCGCGTCACTCCCATGAACCCAACCCCCTCGCTATAATACATATAATAATTCCCTCTACAGTGCCTGACATCAAGTTGTCTACACCAAACAAGCACGCCAGTGAATATATTGTTCTTACCAATAGATGTTGTGACATTGCAGGCCCTCAGATTGGTTTTGGGCTAGTCTGAAAATCCAGAGTTGGTACATGACTTAACTAAGAAAATCAGAGTTTTTCCTGCAGAAATACCACTGCACACTAGAAAAAATCGCATTTTCCTGGGTTTTCTAAAAAAAAAGCTGAATTGTCAGAGTTCACTTCGAAAAAATGCTGAAATACCAGAGTTTTTTTAGGCAAATCAGAGAATTTTCTCTGACTTCTGGGGGCCTGTGACATTGGTTCAGCGTTATGTACAAACCATAATAAACGTGCGATGCTTCTTTGGATCCATGATGTGCTGTTTATATCAGCACAAGGGGTTATGATGACAAAAACAGCTTAACATTGCATGGATCAAAAGGGAGCTCAACTCTGAAGGCTAACAAAGCTTACACATGATGGTCACCTTTAGGTTTTCAAAGATTATAGGTTGCAAACTTGACTAATATAAGCACTGCGAATTCTGTACACTTGAAATCGTCAGTAAATACTCCCTCGTTTCACATCAAGGGCGCCTGCGCAAATTCGGATGCAGGTTCTCCCGCCTTTCATGCCTGCCTCACTGCTTCGGTCTTGTTGCTCGTATGATCGGACGGTGGAAACTTCTCCATCGGCCCATTGTGCGTCTCGCATAACCGAATTTCAAGTCAGCGCAGCTCGTGAAGGGCGGGCTAAACGACGACAGCGCTGTGGTGTGGAGGGTTTTGCGAAGGGCGATGGGGCAACTGTCGTTGGCTGCGCGAAATCAAAATATTTGCCGAGCAGGTTCGGCAATTCCCAAACGAGGCTGCAAAAATTGGTTCGGTTCGGACAATCGTTGCTCGAAAATTTGCGTCGCCTTCTTCCAAAAGAACCTCGTCTTCGCAATCCCCTTGGCAACCCCTTGCGAGCTTTGTTAGGATTATGCTCCCCTCGAAATACCACCCAAAGATAGCGAGCTCCTTGAGAACTCCCACTTCTCCTCGAGAACTCTCACTTGTACCCCGTGCTTCTAGTCATCTGCATTCAGCACAACACGCACCCGCTTTGATCAGATAGGGTTTTTCCATTGTGACCAGTGGGTATTTTAGTCTCTCAGAGCTTCGAGGTTGACTGCGCGTCCGCAGATCGTGATTATGATGCACTTCCAGTCCCGAGGGTTGGAGTTCAAACATCTCGCTCAATTCGACGGGAAGGAGAACGTGATGGTGGAGGCGAATGTTCAATGGCCGCCTCCTGTCAGTTCCCAGCTAATGGCATCTTATCTCGGTAATAATATGTCTTTACTAAACACCGTTTGCCAAGAACCCCCTCGTATCTTGGTGAATAAACGATTCCGGAACTCGCCGCCCACCACGCCGCGATCGCCGCTGCTTCTCGCGAGAAGCTGCGAAGACGTGGAGCTGGAGGACGATGATTGGACGCTGGGTGACTGCAGCACGCCCCCCGAGTCGCGGTCTCTCACACTGGCCCAAGGTTTAGATGTCGGTGCTACTGGCCAGACAATAGTTGAGGATCAGCGACGTGTTTTTGGTGTTCGATCCGTCAACACTGCACACTGCGACACAAATGATAGGATTTCGCTCAGTCGATTAGCGTCCGCGTGCGTTGCTCTCCGCGACGAGGCGGCCACCTGCGATAGGTCAGGCGACGAGATGGAACTGTCGCAAGGAGGCCGTGCCGAAGTGCGGCAAATCCGTTTCGATAACGCTTGGCCCGACCAACAAGACGATTCTCGTCCAATTGACGTTGTAGCGCGCCGAGCGCTCGTGGATCCGCGTCAAGAGGCGGACGAGGGAAGCGACGACGACGACGACGACGAGGAGTCGCACGCGTGGAAGATGCCTCTCGCTGCGACGATGAGGGCGGCGTCTGCGCCCACAGGCTCTGCGTTCGGCGGAACCCTGTCGCGCGTCGCCTGTCGCAGTCGCATCAGGAGCGTGCGCAGCTCGGGCTGGGCGTCGGACGGGGAGGAATCGGACAACGATGGCGACTGGTGTGCGACGGTCGCGCACGACGACTGGGCGCCGGTGCGACGGCGACTATCCTTCGCGGAGCAAGAGTCGATGGGCGACGAGGCTGCGACTGGCAGGCCGGAGGCGGGAATTGAGGAGCGGGGGGCAGGAATTCCCCCTTGTGGCGCGGTGAGCGACCTTCTCGCTGCGTTTGCTCGCACATGCTCCATCGCCGCCGCTTGCCCTGCCCCCGCTGCCACGTGTCCACCCGTCGTTGCGTCGCAAGAAGCGTCGAACGGCATGGAGGTCGCATTCGCGGCACGAGCGCTGGTTGGCGCCGCAGGGGAGCGCGGAATGGGGGGCGACGAAGGCGGGGAGCGGGGGTTGGGGGTTGTAAGGTGGAGGGTACGGACGTGCGGGGCAGGGGGCATGGGGGGAGGTGGGGCGGGGATGAAAGGGGGAAAGGGCAGGGCGGAGAAGAGAGGGAGGGAGAGTGATAGCGATGGGGATGGGGAAAGTGGGGAGGAGAGCGGTAGTGGCGGCGACGGTACGTCTGGGAGCAGTGGCGATGGGGATGACGATGAGGAGGGGGAGGAGGAAGAGGAGGGAGAGGAGGAGGAAGAGGAGGAGGAAGAGGAGGAGGAGGAGGGTGAAGAAGAGGAGGGTGAGGAGGAGGAGGGAGAGGAGGGCGAAGAGGATGAGGAAGAGGAGCGTCAAGAGGAGGAGATGAAGCAGGTGCTTCCGGAGCAGCACCAGCGCGAGAAGCAGCAGCCCCAATCGCAGCAACAGCAGCAAGAGCGAGAGCAGCAGGGCGCGCAGCAGCGGCAGGGCGAGCAGTACGAGGAGAAGCGGGTGTACGTGGGCGGGCTGCCGTACTACGCGACAGACGATGCCATCCACGAGTGCTTCGAGGGGTGCGGCCGCATCGCGCTCATCCACCGCCTTCACTTCCCCGACTCGGGCCGCTTCCGAGGGATCGCGCTCGTCACCTTCAAGGTACGCGCGCTCACGCTACCTTCTCCCGTCCGCGCCTCCGCTCACCCCTGCGCCCTCTCCCCTTGCCCCCTCTCCCCTCGCCCCCTCTCCCCTTGTCCCCTCTCTGCGCCTGTCCCATCTCTGGCCTTGCCCTCTCCGGCCCACCTCGGTTTGAACCTCAAGCTCTCTCCCCACGCACTCCTCTCGCTGGCGGCTGTGCTGCTGCTCTCAACTCACCCTCTTCCCCTCTTCCCGTCTTCCGCCCATTTGATTGCAGACGGCCATCGGAGCACGGAAGGCGTTGGAGCTGGACGGCGTTGACATGTAAGCCGCGCCCCTTGCTGTCCCGCTCGCCTCTGCACTGCCCCACTCGCGCCTCCGCTGCCCCACTCGCCTCTTCCCTGCCCCACTTGCCTCTTCCTGTGTTTTTTGAGAATTCTCAAAAAAGCCCCACTCGCCTTTTCCCTGCCCCACTTGCCTCTTCCCTGCCCCACTCGCCTCTTCCCTGCCCGACTCGCCTCTTCCCTGCCCCACTCGCCTCTTCCCTGCCCCACTCGCCTCTTCCCTGCCCCACTCGCCTCTTCCCTATCCCACTCGCCTCTTCCCTGCCCCGCTCGCCCCTCCGCTGCCCCGTTCGCCTCTTCATGTTGCATCCCATTACCGCGTTGCCACTGCTCCTCCACCTCCCCTGCCAGCAAAATGAACACGCCGTTCACACCTTGCCTTCCCTTATCCACCCCAACCTGCATCACCATCCCCTCCCTACACCTCTCCCTCTTCTCACTCTCCGCCTAATTCGAGTTTCTATCTCTCTTCTCCCCCCTCTCTCCCCTCTCTTTCCCCAGGGACGGTCGTTTCCTTCGCATCAAGCCCTGCCGAGTCAACCCCTCCGCCTCCTCCGCCCCCACTCCACCCGCCCTCTCCGCCGCTCACCCCACCCCCACCACCACCACCACCGCCGCACCCCACCCCAAGGCTACATCCGACTTGCCGCCCCCCCAGCGCGCACCAGGCAGTCTCCGCGCGTACGTGGGCAACCTGGCGTGGAGCATGGACGAGGCGGCTGTAGCGGCCTTCTTCCCCGGCTGTAGCATCGCCTCGGTGCGCCTGGCGAGGAATCCCGAGACCGGGCGGCACAAGGGGTACGGGCACGTGGATTTTGAGGATGAGGAGAGTCTGGAGAGGGCGATTGAAAGGAATCAGCAGGTGGCGTGTGGAAGGCCGGTTAAGGTGGCGTATGCTGTGGCCAGTCGAGGAGATGGGGGGGGTGGCGGGGGTGGTGGGGGCGGAGGGGCAGGGACGATGGGGGGAGCAGCAGGGGGGGCAGGGGGTGGGGGGCATGGGGGTGGTGGGCATGGGGGTGGTGGGCATGGGGGTGCGGGGGCTGGGGGATTAGCAGGGGAGATGGGGGAAGGTGGGGATGCAATGGAGCAGGAGCATGAGGGGGCGAGGGGGAGGAAGGGCAAGGGGCGGAAGAAGGGCTCAGAGGGGTGCTTTGTGTGTGGGAACGAGGGGCACAAGTCGTTTGACTGCCCGGAGAAACACCGTAAGATGAAGCGCCACAAGAGCCAGTGAGGCTAATGAGGATTGATGCAAGGGCGCACGAGAGCAGTGAGGGCTAGCGCAGCATGCACCGTAGAGCTGGTGCAGGAGCAGGGGAGGGGAGGTGCCTTCTTTCCACATCGATAGGTTTGATTCATGTTTTTTTGCAAGACATGCTTCAGTGCTTCTAAAGTCACTGCCTTGCACATTGCAGCTTATTGTTGCTGCTGCATTAGGGGTTCTACCGTCTACTTTTGCTAGTTCATTTTGCCTTCAGATGTAGTGTAGGCATTCATTATTTGTTCGCTACTTAGCCAAACAGTAGTTTGGCATACATAGACTATAGTGCACGTTTTTGTTGAGTATACAACCTGCCATGCTAGCCTTGTATGGTTGGGTGTCAACCCTATACATCAGGTGAGGCCACCAGCATGACTGCTTGTCATGGTAGCTAGCACAAACAATAAGTCAGCTTAAGCCTTTTAATTTGTGCAGCACTGTAGCCTTGAACCACGTCAGACACTGAACAGCTCTCCCAGCTTGTTGTAACGACTGGAATCGGCCATCACAATATTGCTTATAACAGCACTTGTGCGGTCAGCATTTGTGCATTTAAAAGCCTTGAAGAGTGGGCAGCACTGTAGCTTTGAACCACGCGACCCCAAAGAGCCTTCCAGCTTATGACAACAACCCCACATCAGCTGTCATCGCCCATCACAACATAGGATATCGCAGCAGCATGAATGGTCAATCAGCACGAGCCTTGTAATGTGGGCAGCACTGTAGCTTTGAACCACGCGACCCCAAACAGCCCTCCGGGGCTCTTGGGGAGGTCCACGTCAGCAATGAAGGTGTCCAGCTGGGCCAGGGGCAGCCCCACGACGTCTATTGCCTGGAGGAAGGGCGGGGAGGGGTTGGGGGGGAGACTGGGGGAAATGGGGGACGCCAAACAGCCCTCCGGGGCTCTTGGGCGGATCCATGTCAGCGATGAAGGCGTCCAGCTGGGCTAGGGGCAGCCCCACCACGTCTATGGCCTGGGGGGAGGGGGAGGGGAGGAGGTGGGGAAGGTGCGAAAGGGGAGCAACAGGGGAGAGGCGGGAGTTGGGAGGGGGAAGAACTGGGCGAGAGGTAGCCCCACCACGTCTATGGCCTGGGGGGGTAGAGTGGGAAAGTTGGGGAAAGGGTCGGCGGGAAGTGTTGTGGGGGAGGGTGGGATCGGGAAGTAGGAGAAGGAGGAAGAGGGGGGATGGGGGAGTTGGCAGGTGTGTAGAGGCTTGCAGGCACAAAGCCCTTGCAGGCACAAAGCCCTTGCAGGCACAAAGCCCTTGCAGGCACAAAGCCCTTGCAGGCACAAAGCCCTTGCAGGCACAAAGCCCTTTCAGGCACAAAGCCCTTGCAGTCTACCTGCACCCTCATTCCACTCTCACTCCACTTTGACTGAGTCCCCTCTACCACCACTCTCACTCCTCACCATAACAGTCCCCCGCCATAACAGCCCCGCCATAACAGCCCCGCCATAACAGCCCTGCCATAACAGCCCCGCCATAACAGCCTTGCCCCAACCAACGCCCTGCGTGCCCACCATCGGACGCTCCTCTCCCTCCTCACTCTGTCTCTTCCTTCCACACACATCCGCCCACACATCACCTCCCACTCATCTGCAAACTTCCGTAACTCTGTTTCTCCTCTCTCACCCCCCTATGATGTTCCCTTTCTCCACTGAACGTCCTCACCTCGCCCTCCTCCTCCTTGCCTCCCCCAGCATGAGTTCTCTGAGCCTCGTTCACCTGCCAACCACAGCAGGCAGCATACAACACGTGTCACACGGCACACAGAGCAGAGGCATAAGTACAGAGGCAGAAGTACAGAGGCATACGTACAGAGGCATGAACGCCAAGCATCAATGCGTGCATAGCAGCGAGAAACGGAGAGGGCGCAGGAGGGAAGAAGGGGAGAACAGAGAAGAAAAAGGTGAAGCGATAGTTCACCCACGGTGGGACTCGAACCCACAATCACCTGATTAGAAGTCAGATGCCTTATCCATTAGGCCACGCAGGCACATTTTCGCCAGGAACAACTGCACAGTCCACCTAGGCCACCAACGTTGATCTACCCTGCTAAGGTTAAAATGATGCGCGAGGATCAATGGGGATTCATGAGAGCAGCCGTCACCAGCTCAATGTAGGTTCACCCGGGCATTGACCTGGGCTTTAAGCAGCTCACCTTGGCGTAGAACATGGTCTGTCGAGCCCCCGATATGCCCTAAGATGTGAGAGCAGCTGTCACCAGCTACCTCAATGTGGGTTGACCCAGGTTTCCAACCGGGCTTGTAACCGGGCTTTAAGCAGCTCACCCTCCGTGTAGACATGGTTTGCCCACGGACATGAGAGCAGCCGTCACCAGCTACCTCAATGTAGCTTGACCCAGGCTTCAAACCAGCATTTGAGCCGGCCTTTGCCTGGGCTTCACGCAGCTCACCTCAGCGTAGAACATAGTCTGTCGAGCCCCCGAGATCCCCACAGACGTGAGAGCAGCTGTCACCAGCTGCAGTGCCTCAGTATCTCAATATAGGTTGATCTGGGCATTAAGCAGCTCATCTGAGCATAGAACATGGTTTGCCGCCCCCCCGAGATTCCCACGCTCGTGAAAGCAGCGGTCACCAGCTGCAGGGCCTCTATAACTCAATGTAGGTTGATCTGGGCTTTTAGCAGCTCACCTCGGCATAGAACATGGTTTGTCGAGCCCCCGAGATGCCCTCGGACGTGAGGGCAGCCGTCACCAGCTGCAGTGCCTCCAGTGGCACGTCGTACCCCGTCTCCTCTAATACCTCCTCCTGGTGGGGTGGGGTACGGTGGGGAGGGAACGAGTGGGAGTGGGTGGAGTGCAGTGCGGTGCAACAGGGTGTGGTGTAACGTGCTACCAGCTGTAGTGACTCCAGTGGCACGTCGTACTCCGTCTCCTCTAATACCTCCTCCTGGTGGACGTGGGGTGGTGGAGTGCGGTGAAGTTGGGGAGGAGTGCGGTTGAGTGAGGTGGAGGGGGGTGGAATTGGGTGCAACGAGGTGTGGTGTAACGAGTCTTCAGCTGCAGTGAATCCAGTGGCACGTCATACCCCGTCTCCTCCAACACCTCCTCCTGGTGGCATGGGGTGGAGTTGGGTCGAGATCGGTGGAGTGGGATGGATTGGGATGAAGTGGGGTGGAGCAGAGTGGAGTACGGTGCAACGGGGTGTGGTGTAAAGAGTCACCAGCGGCAGTTCCTCCACCGGCACATGGTATCCCGTCTCCTCCAATACCTCCTCCTGGTGGGGTGGGGTGGAGTGCGGTGAAGTGGGGTGGGCGGAGTGGGGTAGAGCGAGGTGGAGTGCAGTGCAGTGCGGTGCAACCTGGTATGGGAGTCACCAGATGCAGTACCTTCGCTGTAATGCCACACCCCATCACCCCTTCCCTCAGCTTCCCAGCCCCGTGCTAGCAGATTCTCCCACCCCCTTTCCCTCTGTTCCCCCACCCATTTCTCCTCACCTTGGCGATCTGCCTAAGGCCCTTCCCTGCCTTGTCCACCAGCCCTGCATGGGGGGGGAAAAGGGGGGGAGCAGCGGGGAGAGGAGAGAGCAGCAAGTGATGGCAGTGAGTGGAGGGGAGAGGACTAGGAATGCCAGCAGCACAATGAACACACATCATAAGCCCACAGGTTTGCTCCACATGTTTTGACCTCACCTGCTCTACCCACTCTCACCCACTCTCACCCACCCTCACCGCTCTCACCCACTCTCACCCACACTCACCCACACTCACCCACCCTCATCGCTCTCACCCACTCTCACCCCCCCTCACCCACCCTCACCCACTCTCACCCACTCTCACCCACTCTCACCCACCCTCACACCCCCTCACCCGCACAGAGCTCGTGTGTGAATGGAGCGTCAAGGTCCTCTGTGACCTTCACCCCCTCCCCGCTTCCCTCCACCTCCGACCCACCCACTCTCACCCGCACACATCTCACCCGCACACATCTCTCAACCGCTCTCAACTGCTCTCACCTGCACAGAGCTCGTAGGTGAAGGCAGCCTCAAGGTCCCCCGTGAGCTTCACCCCCTCCTTTTCCCCCTCCACCTCTGCCGCTCTCAACCACTCTCAACTACTCTTACCTGCACACAGCTCGTAGGTGAAGGCAGCCTCAAGGTCCCCTGTGAGATTCACCCCCTCCTCACTCCCCTCTACGTCTGTCTCTGCTTCTGCCGCTGCTGCTGCTGCGAGTACTGTGGGGCGGAACTGCCGCACCTGCCAGGGGGGGTTGGGGTGGGGGGATGAAGTGGGGTGGAATGGGGTGGAGGTGGCTCGTAGGTGAAGGCAGCTTCACCCCCTCCTCGCCCTCCTCTACGTCTGCCTCTGCTTCTGCTGCTGCTGCTGCTGCTGCTGCTGCTGCTGCTGCTGCTGCTGCTGCTGCTGCTGCTGCTGCTGCTGCTGCTGCTGCGAGCACTGTGGGGCGGAACTGCCGCACCTGGTGTGGGGCATTGAGGGAAGAGGTGGAGGGAGTGAGGGATGGGCAGAAGGCAAGAGGCAAGTGCAGGGAACGAAGGATAGACGAACGCTGTGGTGTGGCACTGTGGCATACGTGATTCACTACAAGAATCCATGAGCTCAGCATGCCGCGTACCATGAGGAAGAGTTTGAGTTGATCATTTAGTAGAAGCTGTTGAGAAAGTATTATATGTGTCTCGTACCATGAGGAGAAGGTTGAGTTCTGTCCATGGGCGCATGCACAAGCGCCCCCAGCAGCAGAGCAGACAGTCACGTGCCGGCACGTGCATGGCAGAAGGTGAGGGTTGCGAGCAAAGGGCATGGGGAGAAAGGAAAGGGGGAAGGGGAGAAGGGGGAGAGGATTGGGGGAGGAGGGGGGAAGGAGGACGGGGGAGCAGCAGCAGGAGGGATGGCAGAGGGGGTTAGCTGGGAAAAGGGACGGCAAATGAAGCGACACAGGCGAGTGGAATTGGTAATAAAATGCTGAAATGCTGAAATGCTGAAACGCTGAAA